AAATATTTTGACCCCTAACAAACCCTAAACACTCAAAACTAAATCTAATACAACATAGTTAACCCAAACATATTTAATATAATGAATAAATAATTTTGAAAAAGTGACATTGTTGCAAAATTGAAAATATGGTATTTTTGAAAAGTAGCATTTCAAAAGTGGCATTCTTCAAATAAAATAGATAAATATTTGATAGACTTCTCTATAAGTAGTTTTGTATTGACGTTCTCAATTTTATTTTATCGCTTCGTGGGGTTGACCTAATTTTGTCTTCTGTTTCTTTCGTGTTTAATTTGTTTTACGGGGTTATAAAATAGTTCGAGCGTAAAAATAGTTCAAATACAAATATGCAAAATAAATTTACCAATATTTTGAAAAATAGATATTTGAATAGTAAAATAGAAAAATAAAAGAAAAAGGTACACTTAATTTAAATATGAATAAGAAAAACTTACAATTTGAAACATCAAAATTAATAAATAAATGTTATGCGCTTCTCGGTTAGTGGTTTTACAACAACATTCTCACCTTTTTTTTTTTACTTTAACGGATGATCTAATTTGTTTTGTACAATTAAATATTTTAATTTTTCATATGTTTATAACATTATAAAGGATACCCACAATTGAACCATGAGGAGAAACTAACAATTAAATTCGTCTTTGACATTATAATGAAGACGGGTTTCTTTGACAACATATTAGCGGTCTTGCACCAAATTTAGAACCGTTCGACCAAATGGCATTTCTGCATAATTAACATTCACACTTTTAACGAAAACGCGGGAGTAATTCTCCACAAGATAATATAGGGCTCCTTTAGTGATTGTATTGACCAAGAAAAAACCGATTACAACTACGAAACTATGTTTTGAAATCAGTAGAGTAGATAATTATGCTATGAATACAATTAACTATATATTTATATATACGTAACTATTTTCTGAAAATACAGATAACTATGTTTAGACAGTTACAAAAACATTGCGATGTAACTAACTATATTTTAAAATCAATATAATATATAACTATGTTCCGAAAATAGTTATTGTATGTATAATTTCGTTAA